AAATAAATAAATACAAACATTTACTACTACTGCTACTACTACTACTGATGATAATGATAATAATGAAATGAGTTATTGTTGTAATTATTGTAATTCATAGTAGATACAATAGTAAGTATTATGGTTGTAATAATAATAATAATAATAATAATAATAATAATAATTAATAAATGCCTTTAGGGTTAAGCCTTGAGATTGTGATGGATGGTGAAAGACGATGAAAGGAAATGATGATGGTCAAAATAACATTAGTTTAAGTGTAGGGACTAAAAATAGTTTTTATATTTTTTATTTAAAAATGGGAGAGCGGGAAAGAAAAAAAAAAAAAACAGACAAAAGGAATTTCAATTATGAATTGGCCGCAATGTGTCAGTGTTAGGGAGCCTAGCTGTGTGTATATGCTGCACTACCATGTTATTATTATTATTTTATTTTAATTCTGTATTTAGGTTTGATTTTTTTTGTGTCGTGTGGGTATTAGGGGTGAAATGGAGGGGCTTTTGTTGTGAGTGTTGCTTTATGTTTTTGTCTTTGTTTTATGCTGAATATTGTTAAATGTTAACTCTTAAATGTTGATTGTTGTTTTATTTTCTAAATGTTATATTCTGTTGTCCTTAATATATACACTTCTGTTCAAAAGTTTGGGGTCACCCAGACAATTTTGTGTTTTCCATGAAAAGTCACACTTTTATTTACCACCATGAGTTGTAAAATGAATAGAAAATATAGTCAAGACATTGACAAGGTTAGAAATAATGAGGTTTCTAGCCTTTTTTTGGCTGTCTTCTTCTTATTGGTCCAGTTCCTCATTGTAGATTTCCAAGAGACTCGCCATGTTGTCTCTCTTCACCTTTCCCCCAGTCTGCTCTGTCTGTCACACACCAGAGAAAACATGTTGCACAAAGAGGAAGTAGCATCACACTGACCTTTATCTAACTCCATTCTTTCCATCTCTCTGCTGTTTACTGTCTAGTTTCTATTCTTTTTCTCACTTCATGCACCTATTATTTGATTAACACCTTTAAGCAATAAGTGATCATAAAGTCATCTGAACCACCCTCACACGGTGATAATCAAACACATAATATCTGACAAGTACACATCTGACTTAGATAAGCGACTCCTTTAAAAGAGTCTGGGAACAGCACCCTCGACCTCCCAGACCATCAGCTATGGATGAGGCCACCTGACTGATGCACCTGTCAATCAGTCAATGGAGTTAGACGACTGTGCTGAGTTCGCTCAAGCTCCGATCTCCGTGATTGAAGACCACGAGTATGTATCGAGTCCTTTTGTCGTCGTGGATGGTAGTAAATATGACAGCAGAGGCAAAGAGCTGGAGGAGCTCAGACAGGAGCTGGTATGTGGATTTCACCTCATCACCAGAGGACTTTCGGTTCTATACCAGGTAAGAAATAGACACTTAGATGATTTGCTCATGTGACATACATATTTGTTGTGCTAAATGTGAGTAAAACCTGGTGCATTTAAGATGTTTGACCTGTACCCCTGTGCGCATCAGCTTCAGGTGTGCACAGGATGTGCTCTATGGCGCACACACTTACACTCTAGACAAACGTGTTTTCAGTTTCAGCACAAGTGAAGAGCACAAGTGAAGGGACATTAACGTCATGGTACAATAAGCAACGACAGTGGCCCAGACAGAGTGGCAGCAGGCGCCATGTGCACAGGGAGAGGGATTGAAAATTACAATTTTTTGTGGGCAAATTCTGATCTGACACGTGATGGCAGCAGCGTCACCACCCAGGAGCTCATTTTTACACAGAAACATACATGTTAGTATTTTTTTTATCATTATTGATTATTCAAGTGTGTGTGTGTGTATGTGTGTGTGTGTGTGTGTGTGTGTGCGTGTGTGTGTGTGTGTGCGCGCATGCGTGCATGTTTTTACTTGCATATAAATGCACAGACATTTATTTCTATAGCTACATACTGATTTATAGTTTTGTGTGCCATTCAAACATTGTCCTTGTTTTGTTTTCTCATCTAGAGAATCATGGCAGCTCGGATTCCTGAGGGACAGAAGAGAGAAGATGTTTGTGTGTGTACATGTGCGTGGATGGTGTTATGGTCCTTGGACCTACTGTATGTTCATTTTTCATTCTCTGTTTGTCCTCCATAATCAAACAGACAGACCACACCGGCTTGTCCAAGCCTGATCCCGTCATATTTCACAAACTCAGAGGTCGGGTCTGGTTAGTACCTGGATGGGAAACTGTTAGGAAAATCAGGAGCCACAGGGCGGCGCCAGTTGCAAAAACTCTCATTGTGTCCTTAGGCAAGACACTTAACCCACATTGCCTTGTATGAAAGTGGTGTGTGTGTGTGTGTGTGTGTGATGGTGGTGAGAGGGGCCGATAAATTGGCAGCCTCGCCTCCGTCAGTCTGCCCCAGGGCAGCTGTGGCTACAGTAGTAGTTTACCACCACCAGGTGTGGAGTGAATGAAGAATGATCTGTAAAGCATCTTTGAGTGTCAAAAGAGTTATATAAATGTGATGTATTATTATTATTATTATTATTATTATTATTATTATTATTATTATTATTAGATGGACACACAATGGATTTTGACATTTTTTTGACACCCGATTGATTGATTGTTTTGTGATAAAATGTGAATAAAAAGTTATAAATGAACATGTCAAAAATGAAATCACTCTTTTATTGATCAATATATAATAAAAAATCTTAAACCAAAATTTGTTTCTTGCAAAAATGTATTGATTCCAATTGGGGTCATTGGAAGAGTGTAGGTATTAGTAGGTCATGCATCCAATAAAATCAATTCTGTGACAGTCTCTTTTAACATTCCACTTTTTGCTGTGTGGAGCTGTTTAATGTCACACTGAGAAAAGGTTCCACAGTGCACCTTTAACTACAAATTAATTAATTAATTAATTAATTTATTTATTTATTTATGACCAAGGCTTAGATGAGTTTAAAATGCTTCGAAGTGAGTGTGAGAGTGTGTTTACAATTTGAAATAATAATCCTTTAAAGCTGTTTCTTATGATGTCACATGTGTTTTTGTGTATAAACCTGTTCCCTGCTCTGCTTCAGTGTTGATTCTTGTGCTGGTTCAGGATTAATCAGTATAAAAATCTACACAAATACATTCTGTTCTTAAGGTTCTTAAGATGTGGTTTCAATTCAGTTCATTCACATTAAAGATGCACCAAGTAACTTCTAAGATGGAGGGTCTCCTACTTGCTATATACATTAGACAGATGTTATAGATTGATTATTTCTTTGCTTGGAATGTTCCATATTAGATATAAATATAAATTAAATTTTTACCCTATGCTGAATATTGGCTATATATACAGTACACTGGCACATATATATTTAAATATTCCCACAATTTCCCACAAATATCTTAAATTAAAGCCACAGTGTGTAACTTTTTAGCCAAAAAATAGGTTAAAATATAAACATGTATATATATTTCATTCTGGTTGTGTTTATTGGACTGTAAACCTAGAAAAACTTACTGTGGCTCTAATATTCCACAGTATGGCATTAAACCTGGAGCATGTCCTGGAGTATGGGTTTCATTTCCACTGGATCAGGCCATCTCCAGAAAGTTCCATACTGTAGCTTTAAAATCGGTCTCTTGGGTATCAGGTGGTGTGTTGTGGGGCATTGGGGTTAAAACCTGTGTGTGTGTCGTGTGTATTAGAGCTGATCTGTGCACGACGCCTCTTTACAAACCGTCCAACTAGAGCCCAGTCCTCCTGTGTGACAGTGACCAGAGCCACCAGAGGGCGCTGTCCCACACAGAAACAAGAGGACAGAAAGAAACAGACAGGGACAGAGAGAGAGATGGATGTGGTCCTCTGCACTTGCCTCTTTAGTCTCTCTATTCTCACCTCCATCTTCTCTTTCTCTCCCCTCTCCCTTCCCTCCTCTTTCTCTTCCTCTCCTCTCTGTCTCCCCTCCCTCATCTCTTTCTCCTCTTCTCTCTGTCTCCTCTTTGTCCTCACCCCTCCCTCATATCTCTCCCCTCTTCTCTGTCTCTTCTCCCTCCTCTCTTTTCTCCTCTCCTCCCCCTCTCTAACTTTCTCTCTCTCCTGTCCTCCCTCTTCTCTCTCTCTTTTTTCCTGCATGCCTCCCACCTCTCCTCCCCTTTGTCCTGTCCTCCCTCCTCTCTTTCTTTCTCTCTCCTCTTCCTCCCTCTCTCTCTCCTCATTCTCTCTCTCCTCTCCTCTCTCTCCCTCTCTTCCTCTCTCTCTCCTCATCCTCTCTCCCTGTCTTCCTCTCTCTCCTCATCCTCTCTCTCTCTCTCCTCTCTCTCTTTCTCCCTCTCTCTCCCTCTGTCGGTGTGTGTGTTGTGTCAGTGTGGCTCTCTCTCTCTCTCTCTTTCTCTCTCTCTCCTCTCTCTCTCTCCGTCTCTCTCTCTCTCCCTCTGTCGGTGTGTGTGTTGTGTCGGTGTGTGTGTCTCTCTCTCTCTCTCTCTCCCTCTGTCGGTGTGTGTGTTGTGTCGGTGTGGCTCTCTCTCTCTCTCTCTCTCTCTCTCTCTCTCTCTCTCTCTCTCTCCGTCTCTCTCTCTCTCCCTCTGTCGGTGTGTGTGTTGTGTCGGTGTGTCTCTCTCTCTCTCTCTCTCTCTCTCTCTCTCTCTCTCTCTCTCTCTCTCTCTCTCTCTCTCTCCTCTGTCGGTGTGTGTGTTGTGTCGGTGTGTCTCTCTCTCCTCTCTCTCTCTCTCTCCGTCTCTCTCTCTCTCCCTCTGTCGGTGTGTGTGTTGTGTCGGTGTGGCTCGTGCGGCGGCAGAGCTCGGAGCGGGACCCGGCGCTATGCACGTGTGTGTGGGAGCGTCCCTTCCCGCGCTCGGCTCCTCCTCGGCGGGGAACACTGCACCGCGGCGTGGGCGCGAACGGGGAACCGGCGCTCGGGACACCATGAGGCCGACGTAAGCGCGCTCGGCCTCGGCTCGCACGGACTCGCTTTCCCCGGCGGGAGTTAGCGGGAGTAGGGAGAGAGGATGGAGAAGAAGCAGAGCGGAGGCGCCGGGGAGGACCTGTCAAAGATCCCCGACGAGGAGCTGCACAGGTGGGGGAAGGACGAGCTGGTGCGCCGGCTGCGGAGGACCGAGGCGGAGAAGCGGGGCGTGATCGTGGAGCACGGGAACCTGATGCGGGAAGTGAACCGGCGACTGCAGCAGCACCTCACGGAGATCCGGAGCCTCAAGGTGAGCACGAGGGAGGGACGTAAGAGCGCGAGGAAGGGACGCACGGGCGAGGGACGGACGTACGAGCGCGAGGAGGGACGCACGAGCGGACTCCAGACCCGTGCACGTGTCTCTGCATCGAGCCACAGAAAGTTTACGCAGTTTAATATTTTTGTTTAATACATTTGTTAACTGGACGAACCATGCATAATGATGTTAGTAGGTTAGTAGTAGTAATAGGCCTATAAACAGTGTTGGGGAGTAACAGATTACATGTACCTGAGTTACGTAATCAGAGTACAAATGATGAGTAACTGTATTCGGTTACAGTTACTGTTTCAGTGAGTGGTAATTGGATTACAGTTACTTTGTTGAAATAAGTGGATTACACGGTGGGATTTTCCTGTTTTCACATTTTGGGCTATATCCCCCTTTTTTTTCTTTTTTTTTTCCCTTTTTTTTAAATACCACTCATTCCCGGAAACTAAAGCAGGTCTAAACTAGATCTAAACCAGGTCTAAACCAGGACTAAACCAGGACTAAAACAGGACTAAAACAGGATTTAACAGGACTAAACCATGCTGGATGGACGTGCCTCCTCTTCTATCAATAATATTTTTAATACAGCTAAGGGTTTTTATTGTCTTTAAGCAGATAAAACATCTTATGTGAAGATTTCCTCATCTTTGCTTCTCTACAGCAAATCAAGTAATCCAAAGTATTCAGATTACGTTACCTTAAATAATTTAACGGATTACATTACAAACTACATTTTAGGGTATGTAATCTGTAATCTGTAGGGGAATACATTTTAAAAGTAACTTTCCCAACACTGCCTGTAACAGTAGTATTTGTGGCGTATTTGTAGTTATTCTAGTTACAGTATTCCTCGTGAGTTGATGTTGCAGTACAGTACACGTCCAACATTTTACACTGCTAAGCATAATTGGGGAGCATGGTAAAAATGCATAAGCCTAAACCAAATAATAATAATTTTTTTTTTAAGTTGTAAAAAATGGTTTCAAGTGGTCAGTTACAGCTCTCAAATGTGAAAAATGTAAAAAAAAATAAAATAAAAAATATAAAAAATCTGATACTGACGGCTACTAAAGCTAATAGGCCTATGAATACTAGTTACTCATTTGAACAAGTATCGATACTGCTACAATCACATTCACAGGACCAAATTTAAGTTTTCCTGAATAATTTTTGTGTAATTTTGTGCTTTATCAGATCTAATATAAGATCTCATGTAACAGATTATTTTGAGTTAAAAAATACATTCTGGAGCATTTATCTTCACTGTGGTTTGGTATCAGTATCGAGTATTGAGTGAAATCCTTTATATTGAAATCAAGTTTTAAAGTGTGGTCATATCGGCTTGTCAAAACCTGATCCCGTCAGATGTCAGAAGCTCAGAGGCTGGGCCTGGGCAGGACTTGGATGGGAGACACTGGGAAAATCAGGTGCCACAAAAACTGTTGTTGTGTCCTTAGGCAAGACACTTCACCCACATTGCGTAGTATAAAAGTGGTGTGTGTGTGAGTGTTGGTGGTGGTCGAAAGGGCTGATGGTGCAGATTGGCAGCCTCACTTCTGTCAGTCTGCCCCAGGGCAGCTGTGGCTACAATAGTTTCATCATTCACTGAGTGTCTAGAGAATGAATAATGAAGATGTCTTGAAAGGCGCAATAAAAAATGCAATGATTAATTCATTACTAAATAAATAAATGCAAGTCATTATTCATTCACACCACACAAGGTGGTGGTGAACGACATTCACACTAGGCAATGTGGGTGAAGTGTCTTGCCTAAGGACACAATCACAGAACTTTGTCTGAGTGGGAATCAGTCCTCTGGGTTAGGGGACAGCTGCTCTAACCACTGAGCCACTGTCGCCAGAATATTTATATAGTGACAACATGACAGTGCAGAAGTCCTGTACCACAGCAGTGTTTTATTGTGTGTGTGTGTGTGTGTGTGTGTGTGTGTGTGTGTGTGTGTGTGTGTGTGTGTGTGTGTGTGTGTGTGGTGTGTGTGTATGTGTGTGTGTGTGTGTGTGTGTGTGTGTGTGAGTGTGTGTGTGTGTGTGTGAGTGTGTGTGTGAGTGTGTGTGTGTGTGTGAGTGTGTGTGTGTGTGTGTGTGTGTGTGTGTGTGTGAGTGTGTGTGTGTGAGTGTGTGTGTGTGTGTGTGTGAGTGTGTGTGTGTGTGTGAGTGTGTGTGTGTGTGTGAGTGTGTGCCTGTGTATGTGTGTGTGTGTGTGTGTGTGTGTATGCGTGTGTGTATGTGAGTGTGTGTGTGTGTGTGTGAGTGTGTGTGTGAGTGTGTGCCTGTGTATGTGTGTGTGTGTGTGTGTGCGTGTGTGTTGTGTATGTGAGTGTGTGTGTGAGTGTGTGTATGTGAGTGTGTGTGTGTGTGTGTGTGTGTGTGTGAGTGTGTGTGTGTGTGTGTAGTGTGTGTGTGTGTGTGAGTGTGTGTGTGTGTGTGAGTGTGTGTGTGAGTGTGTGTGTGAGTGTGTGTGTGTGTGTGTGTGTGTGAGTGTGTGTGTGAGTGTGTGTGTGAGTGTGTGTGTGAGTGTGTGAGTGTGTGTGTGTGTGTGTGTGTGTGTGTGAGTGTGTGTGTGAGTGTGTGTGATGTGTGTGTGTGAGTGTGTGTGAGTGTGTGTGTGTGTGTGTGTGTGTGTGTGAGTGTGTGTGTGAGTGTGTGTGTGTGAGTGTGTGTGTGTGAGTGTGTGTGTGAGTGTGTGCCTGTGTATGTGTGTGTGTGTTTGTGACGCTGTTGGGTCTTTTAATGACTGACTGTTATTAGCCACTGCTGAAAAAGTGTCTGCGTTTCTACTTTTAGCTCCAAATGAAACATTGGCTGACGGCTGCTCAGTCTGAACACAACACGCCTGGAGTTTAAAACGGAGAGAAGACAGTTTACTCACACTAATGACTTTTAGAGAAATAGATGAGATATTATGGGAAATCTAATAACTGTATTTATCCCCTGTAGCGTATATTCACTGTCCCTCCTCTGCAGTGGGGGAATATAATGAAGTAAAAGTAGTAAAGTACTGTAGTTAAGCAAAAAGTGTACTTTACTTAAGTACATTTAAAAGTGGATAGTTTTTATTTTACTTCACTACATTTGTACTTGTGAGACTTTATTTTTTGTCAAGGTCAAAGTTTGAACAAAAATATAATTGTTTCTGTTGAAGAGAATTCAGCACAAATCTGTATCTACATCAGCTTTATTACATTTAAGCAGGTACTTTAATACTTTTACTTATGTAGTTTTTTCATGTGATACTTTAACCTAAGTATTTTTTGCTTTGGAATCAGTATTTTCGTTAACAAAATTGAGTACCACCACTACTCCTCCGAAATCTAACTTTATAATCTCCATTTTATCTCTTTTGTAAAATCCAGGATGTGAACCAGAAGCTCCAGGAGGACAACCAAGAGCTGAGAGACCTTTGCTGCTTCCTGGACGACGATCGACAGAAAGGCAAACGCGTGTCCAGAGAGTGGCAGCGCCTGGGCCGGTTCAGCGCCGGGATCATGCGTAAGGAGGTCACCATTTACCTCCAGAAGCTGCGAGAGCTGGAGTCCAAACAGGCGGAAGTCCTGCGCGAGAACCTCGAACTCAAGGAGGTGTGCCTGATGCTGGAGGAGGAACGGGCCGCGGCGGTGGCCAACAACGGCGGCGTGGGGGGAGGCGGAGGGGGCGGGGCTATGAACGAACAGGGCGGGTGCAGGGGTTCGATCGACAGCCAGAGCAGCCAGTGTAGCCCCGCCCCCGGTTTGCTCCGCGACGTCGGGGATGGGAGCAGCACGTCCAGCGCGGGAAGCACGGACAGCCCCGACAATCCCCACAGCAAACTGCATTTAGGATACAACCTCCACGGCAAATTGGAGAATAATAAAAAATGCGAAATATCTGGAAAATGTACCGATCCCAAACATAACTCGACTGGAAGAAGGCATAGTTCAACTCCGGAATACCATACCTTTCCTCAAAGCTGTAGACCACGTGGAGGATCTCTAACGAATCTGGATACGCACATTCCCAGTAGACACAAGTCCCCGAGCAGGCAACCGTGTGACTACCAACCCAGACATTCAGATTTAAAAGGACACGTTTACATTTCGCAACAGCCGGGGAAAAATAAATCCAGTCCGGAGCTGAGCCAGAGGTCGCCGAGGCCCGGGAAGCCTTCGAGCAGCTGCGGAGGGTCGCCCATATCGACGCCGGAGCATATACGCAAAAATCGGGTGATCGTAGGAAGTCCGGAGTCAATAAGGAGTCACCAGTACCAGCAGGGTGGCGCCGTGGAGCTGGGCAAAGGGAGGTACGGCGCAGGGACGTCGGGGCAAGACAGAGGGCGCCGGAGAGCAGCGGGGGAGGAGGCCAGTCCACAGCACAGCCTCTACAACGGTAAGAGCGGTTTAGTACAAAGAGATGTCTTGGTGTTCATTATATGGTGTTTTGAAGGGTTACAGGATTTTTTTTTAAATCTGTTCTAATGTTGTTTCCTCACCACAAACAGACCTGGAGTTGTGTTTTGTTTCATTCACACGTTTAACACACAAACGCTGCAGATTTAGGATGAGTTTTTCTTTCAAACTGAAAACAACCTATTCAACTTTTATCTACACAAAAGTTAAAACAGAAGCAGTTTAAAAGTCAATCAAAATGAAGTTCAAATCAATGTGTTTGGAGGAAAATAATTTTTTAAAGTTAAAGTCTTTCTTGCAGAAGAAATTGTATAGGCTCCATTCACGCTTACTAGGGATGCGCATGATTAGTCGATTAATCGATAATTGATCATTAAGAATTTCATTGATTATGTTAATTTTAATCGACAAACTGAATGTAGGTTGCTGTGTGTATCGTGACCAAACAGGTGTGTACATGTGTCTCTGCATCAGAAGGAGCGAGACACAAACAGTGGGTCAGTCTGCAACGTACTGAAGCACAAATGTGTATTTAACGATGACTTGTACAAGAAATTCCACACTTTCTGTTGCGTTCAGGGACAAGTGTGAGTCCATGTGCACAGTGTATAAAGCAGCACATATGTTTCTGTGTCCAGTGGGAAAAAGTTTTACCAGGTGAGAGTCGCTCAATGTGGATGACGAGTCCCCACCTCCCTTCCCCCGTACGCTGTCCTGGTTTTGACAAACACAAATCTGGTCACACTAACCTGTATTGACCTGAGTCATGTCTTTTAATCCGACAGAAATTGAACCACATCAGCGACACAAGAGCTGTAGTTTTATCTTCGCTTAGTTTATGCAAATCAGCGATGCGGTTTTAAGTTTTGTTTCTGTGAGAGTTTGAACAAAACTGAAGTAAACACATTATAATGTCAAACAGCTGATGTGGCTCTAGAGTCGTTATGGTTTATTTGTCGTAAAGTTGAATTTATTTATGCAGATTAGTAGTGCAGATAGTAATAATAATGATGATCATTTTAATATAAAAAAATGTTAATGATTAATCGATAATCGATCGTTAATCCTTCCGAAGATCGATTAAGAAAATTTCAACGAATGCCCGTCCCTAATGCTTACTGTATTTTTTGGGCTATAAGTCGCTCCGGAGTATAAGTCGCACCAGCTAAAAAATGTATAATGTAAAATGTTTAATGAAGGAAAAAAAACATATATAGGTTGCACTTATATGCACTTATATTAAATGTATTTTAATAAAACCAGAGACCAGGAAGCGACATTTCCTGTGTAAAGTCAAGTTGTAGTAATAACAGAAGAGAGAACAACAGACTGTTAACGTCACATATGAACAGTTCTTCAGATAAATATAACATAAACAACAGAACAGAACAAGTTTAACAAACTCTCCATCTCACCTCTGGAATAATTTAGCAAATACTCTCAAATCTGTTTCGTCATTGAACTATTTTAAAAGACAATTAAGACAAACATTGATTTGTAATGCTATTTCATATTTGGGCTACTGATAGTTAACTTGCCTGTTCATGACTGTTGTAATAAAATCATGTTTAGGGGAGGTGATGATGTCACTCCACTAAATCCATTGAATTCTTCATCCACTGTGTCACTTCTTAAAGTTAAAATTGTTCAGTGGTGCAGAAGTAATGGTGCAATCGACTGACATGATACAGACAGGACAGAGGCTCTTTCTGCAGGAGACATGTGCAGTAGAGTGAAGTGACAGTGGTACAGGAGGAACAGGAGCAGCAGATACTCACACACAAGACTAGAACCTCTCAACGCTTCAGTGTGAACATTTTAATATATAAGTCGACCCGGAGTAGAAGTCGCAGGAAACACCCAAACCATGAAAAAAGTGCAACTTATAGTGATACAACGCAGCAGTGTCTTTCACATGTTAGTCACTAATGCCTTAATTAACGGCCATTTGTTACGTTTTAATGTTTGCAAGTTGCCCCAAAACACAAAGAAGCGCTGTGTAAATGTCCCTCCCATAATTTAGAATATTCCAGCGATAACGCCACCTGTCACCATCATCACTGTGGAGTCTGCATGTTTCTCCCTGTGTCTGGATGGGTTTTCTCCAGGTGCTCCAGTTTCCCCATCAACCCAAAACATGCTACAGATCTCCAGGAAGAACACTTGATAGTCAAGGTCAATTAAATTCAATCAATCAATGAACCTGCCCAGGGACGACACGTGGAAATGAGCACTGGTGCTACAACCTGATACAAACATCTCTCCTGTTCAGGTTCATGTAGACTGTGCACTGTCCCTGTCATTAAAGAAATAAACTCAACTATATTGACTTATCATATAATATATGAATAGGAGTGTGCAAAAATATTGAAATATCGATACAGTATCGATCTTATTGTGTGCTGCTGTACTAATATATCACCAAGAGTATTTTTTGGTATATTTTAGTAAATAATTTTGATACAGCGCCACAGTTTTGTTGTTTGTTTAGAAGAAGAAAACTCATTTATGTGACACATTTGACATTTTCATTGTTTTGATGATTAAATTGTGAAAGTTTATATTAATTTTGCACAAGTAGTGGTTTAACAAAGAGTTTTAGTATCACAGCCATGATTTAGCTTCATTTTTAGTGAACCGTATGAAATCGATTTGAAATATATCGTATCGAATTGTATTGAATTGAAAGCTCACTATATTGACTTTAGGGCTGTGCAAAAATATTGAAATATCGATATATCGTATCGCTTAATGTGATGATACAGTATCGATATTGTGGGCTGCTGTATCGATATATCACCAAGAGTATTTTATGGTATATTTTACTCAATTATTTTGTTACAGTTGCTTGTTTAGAGGAAAGAAACATGTTTATGTGATACATTTGACATTTTCACTGTTTTGATGATTAAAATGTTTGTGTTTCATATGAACTTTGCACAAAAAGTGGTTCAACAAAGACTTTTAGTATCACAGACATGATTTAGCCTTTATTTTTATTAAACTGTATCGAATCGATTTGAAATATATCGTATTGAATCGAAAGCTCACTGTATCAAGATATGTATCGTATCATGGCCTATGTATTGAGGTATGTATCGTATCTGCAACTTTTTAATGATACCCAGCCCTGTATATGAAAAATGAAACTACAGTCGTCCCTCGCTATATCGCAGTTCACCTTTCGCGGTCTCGCTGTTTCGTGAATTTGTTTTAATGCAATTTTGCATGCTTTTTAAAAAAAAAGCATATGAACGCTTATTACGTATTATGGGTGCGTAGTAATTACACACGGGTGGGTCAAGACTAAACCAGGACTAATCTTGGCTGAGCAATACGTTGTCCGAAATGTGCGATCGGGCAAATTGCCGCACTTACCTTCGTGAGATGCGAAGCTCTACGCTGGTCCTTTCTCCTGCGGTCACCTCCAAGCCCGTCCCGACACTGAGTCCTGTTTCAGTCCTGGGTTAGTCCTGGTTTAGTCCTCCTCTTCAGTCCTGGAGTCAGTCCTGGGTTAGTCCTGGTTTAGTCCTCCTCTTCAGTCCTGGAGTCAGTCCTGGGTTAGTCCTGGTTTAGTCCTCCTCTTCAGTCCTGGAGTCAGTCCTGGAGTCAGTCCTGGGTCAGTCCTGGGTTAGTCCTGGGTTAGTCCTGGGTTAGTCCTGGGTTAGTCTTGGTTCAGTCCGTGACGTGTGCAGTGCAAATGTTTGATATAATCTCGGGTTAACGGGCAGGTGTGGTGGTGTATTGCACTGGTGCGGGTCTCCCGAAACGGACCTGTGCAGGACTGTGTGCTGTAGGGCTCCATTACGGAATAAATTAATGTTTGGTTTGTTTCATAAAGAAGGAGGAAAATAACAAAAGGACGACAGCAGCAATAAGTTTGAAGAAGGATGTAAAAAGGGTTGCACCTGTCCTGTGTGAGAAAAGTGTATAAAGTTTGTGCTGAGGGATTTTACAGCCTTAAAACAGATAGAATATTTTGGGACTCATTATTTAACGTGGGTGTTTTTTCTTTGCAATAGTGAGGAGATTTTTTCCATTTTTATGTAGTAATGTAACCCGACCTGCAGAGAGGAGAGTAAATAACTGCTTTGGCTAATTATCGGTTCATTCTGCTGTTTCTCTGTTGCTTTTAATGAGACAGTCTTTGAAATGCACTTTCCTGGCCTTATCTTGCTTGAAGTTAGTGGCATGAAGTATTTTCAGGATTTATTGCAATATTTTTCTGTAGTGATATATCGTATTTCAAAATGTGTTATGTGACAGTTTTGGTTTTAATTCTTATGTTGTCTCATTAAAAACAAATGCAAGTTTCAATATTCATTTTCTGCAATCAAGACACTTTTAGACAGGACAGTTTAAAGTGTCCATCTGATGTAAAATCACTCTTTTCACATTGTATCTTCTGCACATAAACAAGCACAATTTGGGTTTTGGAACATCCATTACACAATAGTTCTTAAATCTTACTGATTTCTTAGAGACAGTCACAGACCAGGAACTATGAAAGGCCGACTATTGCTCCTCCCCCTGCCCGTCCTGAGAAAGCACAGGCTCCGCCCTCCAAATGTGACGTAGGATCAAGGCCTGTAACGATAACAAATTTTGCCAGGACGATTAATTGGCCAAGAATTTATTATACTGTGTTTGACCGCTATCGTGTTCCTTGCCTTCGACCAAAATATTTCCCAGCATGCAACGCGGGCTTTTAATAACAATGACGTCAGCTGAAACTCGCCTATTTTCCGGATGGATCGATCAAGCGGCAAGTGAAGAAGAAGAACTACAACGTGAAACGAATAATAGTAAAACAATAAATTACTTTTACTTACATTTCCAACTTCTCTGTTCCTTTACTTTTCACGTTGTAGTTCTTCTTCTTCACTTGCCGCTTGATTGGTCCTTTGGAAAATAGAGTCCCGCGGTCACTTCCGTTGTGGCTTTTTGATATGTTGTGGCATTTTAATGTGTTGTGGCTTT